TACAAACAATGAAAATATATTAGAAATATAATAGAATTGTATATCTGTATATATATATATATATATATATATATATAAATGGATTGATATGAAATAAATATATATAAACATAAATTACATTACATATAAAATAAATAATAAATAAAACTTTATAAAATTAGTTTTGAGTATATTCATCATTTATTTTGTCTTTTAATAATTTGTCTTTTTTTGTCTATATGTAGTTCAATGTATAAATTAAGTTTCAAATTTAAGTGCATTTATCAGTACTATGGGCTCAAAGTACAGTTCAATCAAAGCATTTTGTTGTAATCAAAAGAAACCATATTGTAACCAACACAGAAATAAGCAGAAATATATTTCATATTTATGTCAAAAAAGAATGATAAAGCATAACTCAGGAATGAAATTCACCTGTAGGTTCTGGTGGCAGATGGGTGGATGTTTTTCTTCGGTCAGGTGTCCTTGCACACACCTGCCGAAGCGATGCAGACACACGTGATCTGTTGGAGAACAAGACAGGACAAGATGGAGGTCTGAGAACCAAGCAGCTGGAGCAGGTTGTGTGCTGGCAGTGACCTCCACACTCACGCTTCTCCAGCGATACAGACCTGCAGCCGAGAACCGGTCATTCATCAGAGACACTGGAACAGATGAATCAAAAATCAAGACTTCAAGCAGAAGTTACCTGGCTGAGCATATTTCATTGGGATTTGCCTTGCAGAACTTCCATGTGCACTCAGGTCTGCAAGTGTCGGCTTTGAGAACCTCCAGCACTGTTTGGAAATACAAATCCAAAATCAACAACAAAGCCTTGCAAAAAGTGCCAAATAATACAATATATTGTGAAATACTCAAAGAAAAAAACAGACAATAAAATTGATGGAATCCCGTTACAATACGGATGCAGTTCTTCAGGAAAGATTGGGGATTTCGTCACCGTCTAGATAAGAACAATCAGAGCTTTGCTTTTATGGGAAAGTGCTCTGAGATCAAAAGAATCCTTGACTGCCGTATCTCTTTTCAGAGTTCATAAATTAGATTAACCTTGATGGTGCCATTTTCAAGAGTGTGAACATGAACATAAAGTTAATCCATAAGCAGGTGCACACTCTGCATGAATAGATTGTACCACAGGGGTTTTCATACTTTTAGATGGAAAGAGAATCTTCAGTGAAAATGAGTAAACATTTATTTATTTATTTTGCTGAAATTTTCAGCAGACGCTCAAGCAACCGCTTTGTGGCTCTCCGGTGGGTCCCTGGACTCCAGTTTGAAAACCCCTGTTGTATTATATATTTAAATAAATAATTAAAAACTATTCTAAAATAAATAGTATTATTTTTGCTGTATAATTCACAGGGGGGGGGTGTCTAATACAATAAAAAAAAACAATAAAAAATGAAATTTTTGATTAAATTAAATATTGAATTCAGAAATTTACTAGAGAAATCTTCATGATTTTTCTTGAAAATATTATTAATTTCCATGACTTTTCAAACCTGGTACTTCCTGATATTTCCATGTTTTTTCAAGATCATGTGAACCCTGAATTCAAAAACCAACTTTACACTCTTAAAAACCAACTTTGCACTTTACACTCTTAAAAATAAAGATTTCACTGTGATTCCATAGAAGAACCATTTTTGGTTCCTCAAAGTTCAGTGAAAAAAAACGTTTTTTTCTTAGTGTGAAGAACATTTTAATAACATTTTCTAAAGAACCCTTTTCCACTATAAATAACCTTTTGTGCAATAGAAAGATTCCAAGGTTCTTCATGGAACCACAGAAGCCAATAAAGAACCATTATTTTTAAGAGCGTAGACTTGCAGGATTCTACGTAACATCTAGACAGATTAACTTGACATCTCCAGCGTTAGTGGTACCTGATTTGCAGGTTCCCTTGCATTCTGCCTCTGATTTTCCATCAGTTTCTTCTGGGTAAATGCAAACCAGCCCTTCATCGCATTTCCCCAGGTAGTCCCAGGTGCCTCCACAGCTTTCTCCCGCAAGTTTGGCACAGGCTGGACAACAACCGCAGATCCCAGTGGTGATTTCACCCTGACACTGGAACTTCAGTGCTCGACGAAGGGAACAATGGATGCGTTCGCAGGGCGGACAGTGCAAGGCTTGGAGGATCTGCTTGCCCTCCAAGGTGGACATCTCCACAGCCATTACCAGCCACAAAATCACCAAGATTGAGAAGACACATGGACTCATGGTTGGACTTCACATTACTGAGATGGGTCACCTTTTATATAATGGTCCTCACAACCGAGACCACATTTTACAACCACACACACTCAAAAGAAATCATTCAACTTCACAGCAACAAACCTCCTCCCTTCTTCACAACCAATGGATGATGAAGTGTTACGCTTGTTGAGTCTGGATTTGCTGTTAATTATCCCCAAGTCTTATCTTTACAATCGCTCTGTTGTTTTCTTTTTGTCTGAAAACCAATAAGTTGGACCAAGCGAAGAAGACTGGACCCTTTGTGCACAGGTCACGTGACCAATAGCAGTGGGTGCAATTCACAGTGTGATCGAGATAATCGGCCACGAGCAACAAGGACACGATTAGGACATTGACAAGTTATCTGAGAAGACCTGTGTGCAACTTTTTCATAAGCTGGTACGCAATAAAACGCCGCTTTCAGTCTGGCGTACACTTTTCAGAACAGAACGGTTCTTCAAACAGTCTCAAAGGTCATACCCTTGACCGCTTTATACTTAATAAACGTCTACTGTAGATAAAATTATTAGATAAAATTTTGCATAAATGCAATTTTTAATGTGGGTTTTTTTTTTCATTATTTTTTTTCTGGTTAAATTAATGCAAAGTACAATAAAGATGACCCTATTTACTTTCTTAATACAAATTCCTAGTCTTGTGAATGATTTATCAGTGATAAATTCATGCAAAGAATAAAAGAGTCAATGACTTTTTTGTCCTGATGTATAAATTTATTCAAAAATACATTAGAAAAAAAGCTTACACACACGTACCATTATACACACACATACCTTCTGACGAGTTTAATTTCTTCATGAAAATTAATTTTGACATTTTTATAAAGTCAAACATGTCAGAGTGGTACAACTGTCCTAATATTGTAATGTAGAAAAATTGTCAAATTGAGATAAAACATGGTCAAACACTTTTACAGTATTTTGACTTCACGGAAGTTGCAGAAGTAGCCAGTGCCACTGATCTTTTCTTCCATATTGTGAAGCATATTTGAGGGTTATGGATAATGAAAAAAGTAAGGTGGGGAATTGATTCTATATTTCGGTTGTTGGATTTTGAGCACTCAAAAATGTATGAGCTTGGAGTCGATTGTGGGCGGGGTTTAAGCCAGTCCCTCCAAACTTTTGAATGTAAAATCAAGCAAACTCACACTTCACAGCAGATAGCATTTTTTGTGCTATTTTACTGAAAGAAAAAAAAGGTAAACTGAGGAAAGCAATATTAACTTAATATTAGCTATTAACAAATTATTATGTTCAACTCTTACTGCCACGAACACTAATTATGCCAAAGGGAGCACAGAAGTGCTTCTGTAGTGTTTTATAGTGGTTTCTCGACACAGACTGTTTAATGCTGCTCAGAGGTGGCATTCACACGGCATCTGTGACTATATACTTCTATATTAGGGAATGAGGTCAAAGCAGGCATAGTTGAATCTGGCTTTTATGCAGCATTGCATCTTTACGTGAAATTGCATCTTTAGGGAAGTCGTGGCCTAATGGTTAGTCGGACTCGTAACCCAAAGGTTGCGGGTTCGAGTCTCGTACCGGCAGGGATTGTAGGTGGGGGGAGTGAATGTACAGCGCTCTCTTCCACCTTCAATACGACTGAGGTGCCCTTGAGCAAGGCACCGAACCCCCAACTGCTCCCCGGGCACCGCAGCAAAAAAATGGCTGCCCACTGCTCCGGAGGGTGTGTGTGTTCACTGCTGTGTTTGGATGGGATAAATGCAGAGCACTAATTCCGAGTATGGGTCACCATACTTGGCCACATGTCACTTCACTTTCACTTTACTGTGAAACAGGAAAAAAATGCCACAAATATCGCTGCAGCAAATTCAGTCATTTTAGGCCACAAAAATCATGAAAAAAGTCCCACAAAATCCTGGTGGGACTGTTTAAGTGGATTAGATGATTGGAGAAGTCCAGAATGCCACCAGAGAGAAGTCGGAGGTAAAAAATTAAAAAAAAAGGTCTATAGAAGTCTGGAGTAAAAAAAAAAATTATATAAGGATACATCATTCACAGTAAGATTAATAACACATTTTAAAAAACATTTTTGAATTTTCCCAAAAATGAAAATTCTGTCATCATTTACTCACCCTCAAGTTGATGGTAGCCATTGAATTCCATAGTATGAAAAAAAAATTATATGGGAGTCAATGGCTACCGTCAACTGTTGGTTAACAACATCATCTTTCAAAGTACTCAACAGAAAAAAACTCATACAGGTTTGAAGCAACATGAGGGTGACTAAATGATTAGTTTTCATTTGTGGGTGAACTATCGCTTTAAGTCTGATCAACAGCATTCCATTCTGTCAATTACCACATAATTATGATCCATTCCTCAGCTAAGATAAAAAGACAATATAAGAAGCAAAAAAGACAAACCATGGATTTTAAGCAACTTTTATTAAATTAGATATTTATAAAACAGTGCAGTCCTATCATCGGCTTCACTGATCGTAAGTCTCTTTGAAGCATGTCTATAACTGCAAGTTGTCGAAAAAATGGAAAGCCAAACGACACCTGAAAAGACCCAATGTCAACGTTCAGTCCCTTTTACATTAGCAGATCACACTCATTCATTGCTGGCATGGTTGAGGTCAAATGAGTAACTGCATAATGTGCTGCATTGAAAACATGTTATATTTGTAAATATTCGCATATTTCGCTCTGCAAAAATTGAGGTAATGCTAATAACGCTGCAATGTATCTTCAAAACGGTTCATTTAGAGTGATACTTTTGGTCTTAGACTTTTCATGGAATGCATTATGAGCTACAAACATAAAGGCGTTATTTTCAAAGCATTCTGCTTACATTAGGTACACTACACTATAGATTTACTTATCTAAACAAATGAGCTCATCTACGAACAAAAAATGAAACGTCTGATTGTAGACATGATTTATAAACCAGTTGACTACCATATCACCACTGTAGGCTGTATAGGTTGAGTTAATCGGCTTGGTTTGCAAAAGGAACATCCCATTCAAAAAGGATACCAACCGAAGCGGATCCAACGACAGATAAATCCGGACCGAAATTTGCATAGAATGTCATTTATTTTCAAGAAATAGCAGTCACCGAACAATAACACTGTTGCCTGGACTGTGATGATTAATCGATACTGCAGATTCACATTTGTGAGAAGGGCCCCATTTTATCGGGTTTATTATTCCGACAAACATTGACCTAAATTCACAGATTAGAGAAAGATACCGCAGTTAACTGATTCTCTGCATAAACCTCTTTGAAGGGAGAGTGTGCATTGCGTGGGATGGCGTTCAGAGTTTTCTAGCATGGTTCTGGTAGTGGGCCTGACTGGGGTCATGCTGTTAAGGTGTGTGGTTCAGCAATCAGCAAACACTATCAATGGGTTAAGCCTTGGTCACATGAAATCTCTGATTGAAGACATGATTCATAAACCATGTGACTGCCATATCACCACTTCAGGTTGTACAGATTGAGTTATTCGGCCTGGTTGCAAAAGGATACCAGCCAAAGCGGATCCAACGACAGATCAATCCGGACTGAAATTTGCATAGAATGTCATTTATTTCCAAGAAATAGCAGTTACCGAACAATAACACTCTTTGTTGCCTGGACCGTGACGATTAATCGATACTGCAGATTCACATTTGTGAGAAGGGCCCCATTTTATCGGGTTTATTATTCCGACAAACATTGACCTAAATTCACAGATTAGAGAAAGATACCGCAGTTAACTGATTCTCTGCATAAACCTCTTTGAAGGGAGAGTGTGCATTGCGTGGGATGGCGTTCAGAGTTTTCTAGCATGGTTCTGGTAGTGGGCCTGACTGGGGTAAGGTCATGCTGTTAAGGTGTGTGGTTCAGTAATCAGCAAACACTATCAATGGGTTAAGCCTTGGTCACATGAAATCCTCGTAATCTTGTGCATAACCACCACCGAACTGCCCGTAGTCTGCGAGATCATCTTTCATTGTGGCTTTTAAACCTCCTCCTGGTAAAACTCCCTTCTTTTTCTTTTTACCTTTGTTTGCCTATTGAATAAAAAATATGATATTTAGGACCAAAAAAAACTAATTACAATAAAATAATACAAATTGTACATATGGTATGGTATATAGGAGTAAACAAAATAGGAGAATTTTACATAAAAAGATAAAGCATCGAGAAGAAAAAAAAAAAGTTCCTTGAGTTAGTAATTGTTTGCTATTGAATGAATGGTTTACCCAAAAATGAACATTTGCTAAAAAATGTACTCCGGCCAACCAGATAAAACAGATTTGGAGAAATGTAGCATTCCATCAGTTGCTCACCAGTGGATCCTCTGCAGTGAATGGGTGCCGTCAGAATGAGAGTCCAAACAGCTGATAAACACATCACAATAATCCACATCACTCCAGTTCATCTATTAAAGTCTTGTAAAGCAAAAAGCTGCGTGTTTGTAAGAAACAAAAGCATTAAGACGTTTTTAACTTCAAACTGTCACTTCTGGCCAAAATACGAATCAATAATCCATAATAACACTTCCTACAGTGAGAAAGGCCATCCGCTGTTGTCGTCTCACTTCAAAATCCATCGACATATTTGTTTAGAACTGTTTTGTTTTGTTTCACAAGACATTCATTGGTGGACTGGAGTGGTGTGGATTAATTGTGGATTATTGTGATGTTTTTATCAGCTGTTTGGACTCTCATTCTGACGGCACCCATTCACTGCAGAGGATCCACTGGTGAGCAAGTGATGATTTCTCCAAATCTGTTCTGATGAAGAAACAAACTCATCTACATCTTGGATGGCCTAAGTGTGAATAAATTCTCTGCACATTTTCATTTTTTGGGTGAACGATTCCTATAAATGAATTTCATACCTTTTCTTGCCTCTGCTTTTCACTTAGTAACACTGTTAGAGAGTTGTTAACTTTCTTCAAGTCGTCAACTTCCACTGCAAAACCGAAAAATATCATTAAGCAATACATAAATCACATTATGATTGACAGAAGAACTATCAAAAATGAAATATACTTACACGAAAGACACAGGTCCCTAAATAGTGTCTCTAAAAAGCTGGAATAGTGTACTGACTTCTCATAGGAAGACATTTTTTCTTTTAGCAACCGCTCAAACTCTGTGAAGTCTTCTTTTGTAGAGGGACTCATCGCATCAATTCCTGTAACATTATTTGATACTACACCTACAAACAAGAATAAAAGTTAATGATTTGGGCTTATTATGGGTAAAAATACGGATATGGATAAACAGAAAGCACTTACCGAATGCTTCTTTTACTAGTTCTAAGTCTGAATCCTCCTGTAGTTTTTTCACTCTAAGTTTTTTTGCCAGATCCTCTTCAGTTGTGAGTTCTGTGCTGTTTTTTGACTCCTCTAACTATTTAAACAAATTAAAGTTAGTGAAAATGTTGGTATATTCTTCTATCGCACGCTTAAGCTACTAATAAAGGTATGAGTTAACAAGACAGACATACACACTACCATTCAGATGTTTGGGGTCTGTACGATTTTTTTTTTTTTAAAGGCTGTATTTATTTGATCGAAAATGCAGTAAAAACAGAAATATTATTACAATTTAAAAGAACTGTTTTCTATTTTAATATATTGTAAAATGTAATTCATTCCTGTGATGCAAAGCTGAATTTTCAGCATCATTACTCCAGTCTTCAGCGTCACATGATCCTTCAGAAATCATTCGGATTTGCTGATTTGATGCTTAATACTTTTGTGGAAAATATTATTATTTTTATTTTTTTCCAGAATTCTTTTATGAACAAAAAGTTCAAAAGAACAGCATTTAATGGAAATCTTTTGAAAGTATTAATTTCTTTTTAAAAAAATTTTACTTACCTCCAACTTGACGGTAGTCTATGTATATAAAAAATGAAAAATATGACAGTTACAAAATGCTGTAAATAAAACAATGCTTTCAAAGTTTCACAATGTAAATGAAATATGTAACAACTTAGAAAACATTCAGCATTACTTGTTACTGAGAAACAGGTCAAATTAAATATGTCTGAACTCACTTGTTTTTGGAGCTCCTCTTGTTTTTTTCTTTGTAAATTTTCCTTTTCTTTTCTTTTTTCACTGAGTTTCTTCTTTTCTGTAGGTTTGTCCTCTGTATACGAAAAAAAACAAACAGTTAAACCTCAAAGTTTAACTTTACAACTTGAAGTACAGCTGAAGCTTTATAAATAACTGCTTTGAAGAATGTGAATTTATGTGCATGTTAATATGTGCATAATTTCCAAGGCGTTTTAAGTTTTTGTGTAATTCTCATATAATTATGCATGTAGTTTTTATAGTCTCATCTTAATTAACTATGAACAAATGCAAAGCAAAAAATATATACTTAAATATTATAAATATATTCATTTATAAATATATGTAACACCCAGAACTATAAGTCAACTGATAAAAAAAAAAAAAAAACTAATACTTGCGAGGTGAAAATGCATTTTGGGAGAAAACAACAACAACAACAACCATGTTCAGTTTGTCACCTACCAAATTATGCATTTCATATCACTGTACCTGACTTTTTTTCCTCCTCCTTTTCTTCCTCTTCATCATCATCCCAATTATCCTACATGGAAAATTAATTTAAACCACAAATTAGGACATTTCGTGATAGGTAGCATGAAGACAAAAGATTAACTGGACATCATTCATTTCACAGTTATAAAGTTAATCTGTCCTATTATGAAGAAGGCAAACTACTTTGAGACGGTAAGATAATTTGAGATGAGCAACAGGTGACAGTTATATTTTGCTTTGAAAAGGCCAAGTACAGTAAATTAGACACTAACTATACGCTACAAAGGTGTTAAAGACATGGCTTTAGCATTAAATTAATATAATTGCTATGATTTCATTCCCTGACTTACGACAGCAGGTGTACGCCTATGCTAATAACTAACTTAACTGCACACATATTACACTAAAGCTCATCCTCACCGCGCTGTTTTTACACTCTCGAGTTAGCAAGAGCAGCTAGCTAGAGTTAGCTAACTGTAACTTCTTGGCAGATGAGAGACTTTCTTAACTGTTAAAGAGTAAACACACATTTTGATTCGCGAACGACAAATAAAGCATTCGCTACTTACTTTCACGTCGTCGTCTTCATCCTCGCCCTCCCATTTGTCATGAACTGCCGCCTTTTTGATAGGCTCCTCGGTCTCGAAACTATCAGCGTCTGGAAAATAACAGCGTGTTTAGACAGATTACTTAATGACAGCCGTGATTCATGATGACAGTCTATTAGATAAAACATATTAATATAAATTCGTACAGTCAGAAAATAAAAACGGTAGAGTTGAGTGAAATTCTCACCCCAAGAATCGGCGTCCGCCATGATGTCGGAGTGGCTGAGGGGAAATGAGGGCGTGAAGCACACCGCACTGCACGAAGACTTCCAGAAATGTCAAATTAAAGGCCCTCAGTCACATATGTAAGGCATGGCTCTCTTCAAAGCTAATAAATTGTGTAATGTGAAGAATAGTGTTCTTAAATAGTATCAGTTTATTAGATTTGTGTAGCTTTTACTCCATGTGTGTTAACCGGTCATCTACCCTGATAGCACATGTACATCACTGAGGCGTCTATTTGACATCTGCAAGACCTATTTTGTAGTGTTTGCTCATCTGCAATACATCTATAAGATGATACCTATCAGATATAGACGTTTAGAAAATGTCTTTAAGATGTTTATGATTTAGAATGTATGTAAAACTGAGATGTTAAAGACGTCTATCAGATGTTTGTACACAGCAGATGCTTTCCAGATGAAGAGATCTTTAACAGACAGCATGCAGACATATGTGTGCTATCTGGGTAAATAGTATCAGTTTATTATATTTTTGTGGCTTTTAGTCCATGTGTGTTAGCCGTCTGCAAGATGTCTGTTAAAGATCGCTGCATCTGCTGTGTACAAACATCTGATAGATGTCTTTAAGATGTCAGTTTTACATACACTCTAAATCATACACATCTTAAAGACATCTTCTAAACGTCTACTTGACATCTGATAGGAAACGTCCTATAGAAATATTGCAGATGAGCAAACACTCTAAAAATACTTTTTGCAGATGTAAATGCAGACGTGGACCCCTAGTGGTCCTTGACGTAAGGCCAGGGGGTCCGTATAAAGTATTAATTTTTGTATACATTTTGTATATTTTGACATGACATGTTCCCATGAAAGAAAAATCCAATATAGCTGATGATATGGCCAAATACTGGACAAGTCAGCTAACTTGAATTATCCCTGACTGCATTTGGTCCTCACAAAGACACAAATGATACATAGATGAGTCAGTTTTGTTCTGGGGGTCCTTGAGGATGGTTCTGAATTGGACTGGGGTCCGGTACGCCAAAAGGTTGAGATTCACTGCTATAGTGTACTCATAACAAAATGAGCTTTTAGCAGATATAAGCCCCTATACACATTTAAAGTTTACTTTCTTCTTAAAAATGGACCAAAATGTTGATGATCTCATCCTACACTACGCCAATTTCGTCCAATCAAATTCTCACTACAGTGTCCCTCCCTCCCCCTGCAACCAACTAAATATTTGTGGACAAAATCCAGTCTTTTTAATAGGAATCCATGCAGTTTGGAATTTTGCATGAGGGTGAAACATTTCCTCACACAGATTTTGCATTGGGTTCAACCCCTGATAGCACACGTACATCACGGAGACGTCTATTTGACGTCTGCATTTACTGTACATCTGCAAGACATATTTTTAGAGTGTTTGCTCATCTGCAATACATCTATAGGGCATATCAGATGTCAAATAGACGTTATGTCTTTAAGATGTTTATGATTTAGAATGTATATTAAACTGACATCTTGGAGACGTCTATCAGATGTTTGTACACAGCAGATGCTTTCCAGATGAAGCGATCTTTAATCTCGTATGTGTGCTATCTGGGACTGGTCATATGAATTCGCCATGCTGACCAACAGAAAGTTGCTTGGTTTGAAATGGACTTTTGAGCTGTGCTTCATATATCACTACACTATTGACAATAGACAACAGACGCTTTACCAACGAATTTTCATCAAAATCTTGCTAATTTGATCACGCTTTAACAAGTAGCAAATCCTGCACTCTCCGAAATCACTGCCTATACCCTTATATATTGCACTATTTGAGGGAACAGCCATTGTAGTGGTGTCTGAAACCATTACATAAATGAGTGCACTCATTCAATCGCATAATACACTGCAATAACAACCAATGTACACTCAACGGCTGGCAGTTAAAAATACCTATGCACTGTGTGGGTTGTACAGGAATTTATTCGGCGTGATTCATACACTCTAAAAAATGCTGAGTTGTTTCAACCCAACTTTGGGTCAAATATGGACTAACCCAACTTTTGGGTTAAAAATGTAATTAGAAAATTTAACCCAATGGTTGGGTTAGTCCATATTTGACCCAAAGTTGGGTTGAAACAACCCAGCATTTTTTAGAGTGTACAGTGCATGGGTAGCCGTTAGCTACACTCATTATTGAGATGAATTATGGGATTGAATGAGTGCACATAATGTCCACTATGGACAAATGGCTGTCCCCTCAAATAGTGCACTATATAAGGGTATAAGGGTTGGGTTTTGGACACAGCTGGGATTGTACTGTTTTGCATACTACATACTGTAACATATGCTTTATAAAGTATGCAGTATGCAGTGTATACAGATGTAGTATGCACACAATTACAGTTCTCTTCCTAGACTTAATAGTAACTATTTGATTGATCAAGACAGTTGTCCTTTGTATTATTTTTTACATTTGTTGACATTAGAAATGGAATTTCCTGTTATAGCGATTAAATGTTTTTTAAGTTGAGGAATAATAAAAATTGACTGTCTCTTTAAAAAAAAAAAAAAAACTCATAAAGCGCTTCATTGTCCCGGGATGCTGAGGGTGTGTGTATAAGCTACATCCACGTTCCTCAGCATCTGTGGTTCGTCAAAGACATGTCCTAACATTTGCTCTGTAAATGCCTGAGCAATACAACGAACAGTATAACGTTATATTTGGCTGAGCAACGCCAAACTGGCTCCGGTAAGCATTTGTTCGTTTTAAAAGCTTATCGTCGGTATATGGTAGCCGCTTCGATTTTAGTCCGTTTTATATTAACCATGTTCGTGTGCACTTTGGATGGGTAAATGCGGAGCACTAATTCCGAGTATGGGTCACCATACTTGGCCACATGTCACGTCACTATGTTATTGTGATGTTATTAGTGAGTGCAGGTCTTAAGCGCATGTCGCAGGCGTCGTATCTTTATATTCTCTGCATACGAGGCGGGCAAATGTTTCCTATGATGTTATGTGCAGAAACAAGAATATTTTGTCCTCGATTTTAAGGATTAGAAGTTTGTATTAATTTGGGCTGTTAGGAGTCCTGGTCGATGGATGTTGCAGTAATTCCGTCTCGAGATCACTGGGAGAATGGATGTGACGTCAGAACCTCTGGTTATGAGGCTTATTTGGTGCTGAAGGAGGTTCACTGAAACTTTTCAAAGTATTTAAAATTCAGAATTGCAAGAATGTTTTGTGAAGCTGTTATATATGGCAATAGCTGTAAAAAAAAAATAAAAAAATCCTGAGGGTTTTTCTGACCATACAACCATGCTGAAAAGCAGCTTAAACCTGCATAAACTGCTTTCATGGTCTTTTGGCTGGTTTAGAGGGGGTTTGGGGCACTTAGATGGTGTTGGTCACACTTAGAGACCAGCTAATACAGCTCAACACCAGCTTGGCCAGGTTTAAGACCAGTTTAAACCACCTAAGGCCAACAAAGCTGTAGTTCTTGCTTAGGCTGGTAATTTTATTTATTTATTTGTTTATTTATTTCCGTAGGGAACTGTCCAGACAAAAGCATTTACATTTAGATGAGACCGCAACTCCCTGCAGATCTAGGTTGTACCTGCACCTTTACATTTCAGACCATGTCTGACAGATTCTGTGTTTGTGTAATGTGTTTGTGTAATTGTCCTTTACCAGACCATTTACTAAAGCTGTAGTTCTTGCTTAGGCTGGTAATTTTATTTATTTATTTGTTTATTTATTTCCGTAGGGAACTGTCCAGACAAAAGCATTTACATTTAGATGAGACCGCAACTCCCTGCAGATCTAGGTTGTACCTGCACCTTTAAATTTCAGACCATGTCTGACAGATTCTGTGTTTGTGTAATTGTCCTTTACCAGACCATTTACTTCGTCAGATGTGAGCACATCCTTGTATTTTCCTTTTCTTTTAAGCAATCTTTTAACCATCCTTTTCTTTTAACCAGTTATTTACAGTATACTTCTGATCAAAAAGTAATAGAAAATATGGAGATGTAATTTTAAATATGTGGTTTCTAGGCCTGGAAAAGTCTTTGAAAGTCATGGAAATTTATGGCGAATCATGAATCCCAAAACATAGAAATGTATTGTTCAAAATGTGTGTGAACCCCTGTAAATGCCATGGAAATTTAGTGGGCAAAAGATGTGGGAACCCTGCTTGTAGTTCAAGTGACATCACGGAACATAATCTATATAAATCTAAGTTTTAGTGCATTCAGATACTGAATCAAACCTATTTTATCGAACGAGCTTCACATAAAAGGAAATAAAGGCACATTTCTGCACTGCTGAATACGAAAGCTCTACAATTTAGACCATATGGAAAAATACCCTCTGCAAATTCATTGATAGTCACTGAACATAAAGGAACATTGAGGAAGACAGGTATATCAGCCAATTAGAAGTTGCTTGCTGATCTAATAGCGATATTAATGTGTTCGATTACATGCTTCGACCAAGATCACATTTTCAGCTTAGGCTTGCTGTTTTTTCTTTTAAGTTCTGGGCCCATTTCCATAGTTTCTCTGAAGCTGCAAACTGTGAGTTGGCTAATTTATGAGGAATAAGAATCAATTTACTTTGCTACTTTTTATAAACCACATTAAATGCAGATAGATTAGCAATCTGATCTCAACTACAGCTGAAAAACATATTGCTATCCCTGAATCTCCATGCTTTAAATATTTAGCAATACAATGGCCTACAAAAGTATTTTGACACTGAAACCATGCTTAAAGGTTGTTTCAAACTTGGTTCAGTTGCTTAGTCTGAAACTGAGTTTGATTCCACTGCCCTCATGCTGTTTTTTTGGGCCTTATGTAGGTATTCCTCTGGGTGTTTGTTTCCTGATTTTCAGTATCCCAAAGAAAAAAAAAATGGATGATTTCAAACTAAAAATATCAGTCCATCTGTGGGTGAAGGAAGCTTGTGTTGTATAAGGGGACAAATTAAGTGAGTCGCAATCAAAAGCAGGAGGCTGTATTTCCACTGGGAATCTGATGTCTCTCATCAATAGCGAGGAATCCCTGGAGTGCAGGAAAATATCAGCATGTTTCCTGCTGATACACCTGCTGAACTGTGCAAATCTGTCTCCCTGATGCTGTGGTGTACTGTGCTTGATTTGGATGAGGTTGTTTTCCTCAGAGGTTTTAATACAGCTGAACTACAAAGTCAAAGTGTAGGTGTAAACTGTATATAGAATGATGCTATCTAATCAGTTTTTGGATATTAGCACACTGTATTCCAATGCATACTGTGTTGTCCCAAATATCAGATGCATACATCTTGAGAATTCCTTTATCTCTACTTGGCTATCGGTAGGCTATATCTTGCACTTTTGGTTAGTATGTCGTACTAAAGGACCAAAAATAACTTTTGGACTTGTCAAATTGAGAAAATGTACAGTTAAAATTTTCCCATATATTTTTCACAACAGGTTTAAGTTGGTTACAGTGACCAACAGAAAGCTGCTTAGGTTGAAAGTGACTTCTGTGTGAGTTGTGCTTAATACATCACTGCACTATTGACAATAGACAATGGACATTTTTCCCGCAAAATTTTGCCAGAATTAATGATACTGCAACTTAATAGTGAAATGCTTATCTTCCACTTCCATTGTAAAAATACACATTATGATTTTGATTAGGGCTGTCACGATTCCTCGATTAAATTTGAGTACTCAATAATAAAAAATCCTCGATTGCATTTTGCCTGTGTTGATTAAGGGGAAAAATAATGGAAGTGGCACATTCCACAGACAAGAATCCATGAAAAGCATAATTTATTAGACAGTTTTCTAAGGCTGCACGAAATATTAAAACCATTTTAAAATCATAATAAAAAGCATAGTGCTATTGTGAATTCAGAAAGGCTGCGATTCAGTTAAATAAATATATGCGCTGCAGGTTTAATATGCACGTTATTTATATGATTGTAGGTTATGGCTCTGTTCACAGTAAATGCTGCTCCACACAAGATAAAAAAATAAATACAAATTTCCAAAATGAAAATTTAAACCCTCACTCTGAGTTTGCATGTTTTGATGTCCACATGCTCTTGTTCAAGAAATGACAGCGTAGCATTTCTATCATAAAGAAGTGGCCAAATATTAATTTTGTCTAGTCAATATTAAAGAAGGATTAGATCGCACTATAATGTGTAAAAGAGTAAAAAAAAACTTGTAATTTGCAAAAAAAGTTATGATTTATAAGTGGACATTTGAATTAAATGTTGTTTATTCGATATTAAACAAGGATTAGATTGCGCTGTAAAGTCTAAAAATCGTCAGGCCATTGGTGCCCTCTGCAGGTATTTGATATATAAAACAATGTACATAACTCATGATTATTTTGTTTTATTACATTATGTATTTTAACTGTTTTGTTCAATAAAACCATATGATTATTTGCTTTTGATATTATATTTGAACCAATTATTATTGGCTCAGTACTAGGGCTGGTTTTTGACACAAATTTCACGATTCGATTCAATTCTCATTCACAAGCTTGCGATTCGATTACCGATTATTTTAGATATATATCAGGTACAGTACATACGAAATTTTCTCAAGGAAAAAAATCTCAAATAATGCTGTAAAATATACATGAGAGTCAGTTGGTACTACATTACAATAATATTGAAGGTTAAAATTGACTGATTTGTTATACATAATAATAAATAACAATTACATAATAATATTTCTACTTCAATTCGTTTTTTTTATATAAACATAATGGTGACTGTCATAAAAACTTGATGGATTTATTCAAACATAAATTAAACATTGAAGAACAAAACATTTAAATGGTGGCTGTCATAAAAACTTGATGGATTTATTCAAACATAAATTAAACATTGAAGAACAGTAAAATTTATAATGAATATGGTGCATATATAAATGTAAATGTGACATTACGTGATATTGTTTACAAGTCGTTATATTGATGTCTTTGTGCAGCTGAAACACTGATTGAGCGATTACATGAGACAGAATATGGCTTGTAAGGTTGTACCCTTTCTTTTAAATTACCTTCGGATGTTTAGTCATGATTATTTTGTGCTGAAACAGGTATTAATGTGGAGGAGATGATTAGTTCACGTGCGCTACGTGCTGCTGCGTCATCGATTCTTGGGATTTAAGAATTGATATCGTTCCATAAAAATGATAATCGATTAATATCGAGATATCAATATTTTTTACCCAGCCCTACTCATTACTATTATATGTGTATTTTTAGTCATTTTAAAGTCTATTGTTCACATAGGTCTATTTTTATTCCCACAAAAAAAAATCTGATTACTCAATTAATAATCAGATTAATCGACTGATTAGAAGTAGTTAGATGATGTTTTCTGAGTAGATCGTTTGTATGTCTTTGATTTGAATCGATCACATCTATGACATTAGCGCCTAGATCAGTTCAACTTAAAACAGTTCCTTATACTGTCACCAAGTTACCCACCAAGTAAATAAATACTCACCAAAACCTATTTTAACCACATTTGGCACTTTTTACTTTAATTTTGAACTTTTTGTTTCAGGGCTGACGGAATCCCACTTCTGTGGGGCTGATGAGGCCAGTCATGGCTCTCAGGAGAAGACCGGAGACCAGAGCCATTGTTTCAGAGCTCAACCCAACTGAAAAGCTCTTGAGAGATGGAGTTGATCCAATTCCTGAGGAACTTGGACATGAAAAGCTGGATGTCCAGCCACCCTCACCTGTGCCAGCTAGGTTCTGTCTAAGTGATGGGTCTGAGGACGACTCTATCCGAGGCGAAAGCCCTCTTCAGCAGGACAGCATGGAGGAGGACTCACTGTCCGAGTATGATAATGTCGTATCAGGGGAAGAGAAAGAAGAAGAGGAGCATGATTACGAGGAAGATGAGGAACTGCAAACCGAAGCGGACAGGATGACCTACTATGTTCACTGTTGTCCTGAAGATGAAAGCTACATGGAAGGAATGGATTGCCATGAAGGTGCGGACAGTGCTGAGTGTCCTGGCACGTCTCGAGATGTCCGGGATAGCTGTAAACCAGAGGAGGCTTCGGAACACACAGAAAACTTTTACAAGGTTCTGCAGCAAGATGCAACAACGAAGGTCTACAAACAACCAGAGCCTATCACAGAGACAACCTTCGTACAAGCCCCCATGGCTGAGGACGAGGTGGATGAAGAAGAGATGGAGGAAGAAGCAGAAGAGGAGGACAGTGAAGAAGAAGACAATGTTGGGTTTTTTCGCTACGAAGGGAAAGAAGCAGAGTTGAACAACAATGAGATCCCACATAAAGGTGCTGACGGCTTTCCCAGAGATGGCAGAAGTCATCCTCAAGTTTCCAGTTGTGCTAAAGTGGGGCAAGCAAGTGATGCACTTAGTAACTATAGAAGGAATCAGGACATCCCCAAACACCTAAGGGATGTCCCTCGAGGGTCAAGTTGTCCTCCTAGGGATCCAATGGAAAGGGTACGGGAAGAGTGTGCCAGTGACTGTCCAAAAGATTGTGATGTCCCTGTGGTCAGAGAAGGTAGAGGAGACCCTAGACAAAATTTCAGATATAGAGGACATCAGTCGAAGAGAGTACACAAAAGAGACATCACTTACGAGGATGGTAGTGGGGTCAGCAATAAAGCTAAGTTTGCAGATCCAGAGGACAGAGGCGTTTGGAAAAAAAGACATTTGCTAAAATACTCTAGAGAGGACGACAGGGACAGAGATGGGAAACATTCACACAAGCAAAGTAAAAGTCCTGGAGACAGCAAAAACAAAGGACAGGACCATCCCTTTTGTAGTTATAAAACAAAGGGTGGAATAGAAAGAAAGAGCATTGGGGATGTTGAGGAAGAGCAGATTGAGAACAGATTTAAGACCAAACTCAGAATTTCTCCAAACAACTCAGGGAGGGACAAAGGTGCATCTAAACAGACAAATAATGGGAAAGAGGCTCCTGATAGTTCCAGGGCCTCTTCAACATCATCAGACAGGAGAAGCAGCCAATCCAGAGCCCATGTTAATACACCTGTACAGTCCCCAGATAAACGGCTACATGAAGACTTGGCCAAACCTGTTGAAAAGGAGAAGACAAGGCCTAATCAGGAACAGGTAACTGTGCAGAATTCTTTACTAACTGTCAAGAAGTCTTTGCTTCCTCCTTGCAGGGGAGCTTACACAATGATTGGATTCATGTGAATGGATCCTTGTTTTTGTGGTAGCATTTATTCTAGATTGACCCATGTTTTAACATGAAAAAAGGTGAATGGTCACTTTGCATGTCGATCGGACAGCCTGTTCTTGTCTTAGCCTGTTCTTGGCTCTTGACCACATTGCACCAGATTTCTACCAGTGGTCCGGCTCCTTCTAGGCAAGCATCAGACAATCGTCTCCAATGAGATTTGAAGATTTCCATCCATTCTTCAAACTGCTTGTCCTCTGCAGGGTTGCAGGAATGCTGGAGCCTATCCCAGTATCTCGGGCCACAAGCGAGGGAAACACCCTGGACAGGTTGCCAGTCAGATTTGAAGATTTGTCCTAAATAATAGCCTAGATTAGTGTTCAGCCTCAGAACAGTGGACCAATAAAGAGTGGAAAAGTGGTTATTGGGAAAACACTACAACATTGCTTTCTTATATAAACCCTTAGCCATTTGGTTCCAAAAATTGAAGCTAATTATGTGAATGCTAATTCTACCAATTTAGCTAATTTTTGTATACAGGGGCGCAAAGTTTGTGATACATTCCCTAAAAATGTAGTTGTCCTGTTTCTGCTTATATGTATACTCCTCAAAATTTATAATCCTTCATATATCCAAGTGTATCCACATCTAAACCGTCAATTGTTGGGCCCTTGAAAGGTGAAACTGTAACTGCTACAACTGACTGGCTATGGACAAAATAGCACTGCCATCCACTCATTTTTTGGTTTCAGTCCTATGCTTTCAACAATAATCATGTCTTGTCATGTCAATTATAAATTGTACCTATAGGCCTAATCACAATATAATAATTTTCTGTTTCAATGTTTCTACAGGTTTCTCAGAGTAGTCCAGAGGAAAGTTGTACAGGGCCACCATCTGGACAAAAGAGACCGGCAAGTTAACTAGTTATATGCTGAACCATAATAATAGAATACATGCTATGGGACAAGTTGTAACCTGTAACAGGATCTGTAACTTAAATATCGTTTTGCTTTTCAGCAGGCCCAGAGAAATCCCTCTTTCCCAAGCTTTGTGGATAGTAAGTTCTGTTTTATTTAAACACAATTGAATATTGTGTCTCAAAACTTTAAAGATTTGAAAGATGCATGATAATTGGAATAGTATTTATATTAGAGTTAGGTTCAGAGTATTAGCTCAAATTTCAGGTGTTTTATTAGTCTAGTTGTTTATCCTGCTCTTTGCATTTGTTTATTAGTCCCTGGTCCATGTGAGCCAGAAGATCTCATCAATGGAATAATCTTTGCCGCAAACTACCTCGGCTCTACCCAGCTGCTCTCTGACAGAAACCCGTCCAAAAGCGTGCGCATGAAGCAAGCTCAGGAAGCTGTGGACTGTGTTAAGGTATTTATAAGATTCTCCACACAAAAATATTTGAATATTTCTGCTGCCTTGGCAAGGCTCTTGTGAACGAACATTACTTGAAATGTGCTTTATGGTTTAATATTTTGTGGATATACTGTAGAATGTTGTCAGAAGATCCCTCTCAGTCCACTAGATGACACTGTAACCTTTGTGAAACCATGTTTTTTAGTCTGTAGAGGGTGAAGCTCAGAGCTTGACAGAGATTGACTTGTTCATCTCAACCAAGGCCATCAAGGTGCTCAATGCTGACACACAGGTAGGTAAATTTCATTTAAGACTGGTAATTGTGTGAATATATACAATATTTTGTCAAATATACAGTCAGAGCTGTGGTGCAGATGTCCTAACACTTTCCTGTTGCTTTCCACTTTACTATTCATAAAAAGACAGAATGCACTATTAAAAAGAACTGGATTTACATTAAAGGACAAGTTACAGAATTGATGCTTAGCTACATACTTTTCATTGACTGACTCCTGATCCTTGTTCACAGGAGACGATGATGGACAACGCCCTCCGCACCATCTCCTACATCGCAGACATCGGTGACGTGGTGGTCCTGATGGCTCGCAGGCGTCTGTCTAACTCCTCCTCGCTCGACTGCACAGATTCAGGCCTCAGCACAGAAAGTCGGAAGCAGTACTGCATGATGTGCTACGTCTTTGAGTCAGAGGATGTGAGATTGATCTTTTCTTATAATAACCAATAATAAGAATGAAAGTGAATAATGTTTACCATGAATTAATTTTATAAAGAAAAGATTAAAGCTTAAGTGTTTTTTTTGTTTGTTTGTTTGTTTTTTCAACTTATGGCCGTTTGGGTGTTTGGTGAATTTTGCATTATTTTTGCAATTGCAAGGTTTTTCACACAACTATAACAGAAATGACACAATTAAGCTTAAATCTAACAATCCAAAACTGCATAATAAATCTGTCCTTGTATCAGTGTTGGATGGTACCCTCTAACTAATAATATGTACCCATAACCAGGGCCGCACCAGTTGCACCCCCCTAAGGACAGTCCGGCCCATAACATTAGTAAAAAATCCAGATGGAATATTCTGACTTTCTCCACATTTATGCAATGATTAAAAAATAAAATGCAGGTTTGCAGAAATGCAGAATTCTGTGAATTTTACGCATTTAAACTTAAGTTAATAGATTTAGGCATGGGAAAATGACTGAGCTGAGTACCACACTTGTTAGTTGAAAGCATTATCAAATTAGCCTAAATATTTAATAAACAAACATGTAATATTTAATATTGAATAAGCTATATTTAACATGTAATAAACAAACACTCTTATTGGTAACTGAAAGCATTACCGAATTAGTCTGATTACTAAACAAACATATAATATTTATTATTCAGTAAGTAATATTTACTATTAATACTTAATTAAATAAAAACCGCTTATCTGCAGCTGAAAGCATTATCAAATTAGCCTAAACAGTTACTAAACAAACATGTTTAATATTTGGTAAGCAATATTAATCTATTAATATTTCATTTCATTAACTATTAATATTTCATTTAAAAAAAAAACGCTTTCACCGGTAGCAAAAAGCATTATCAAATTAGCCCAAATAATTACAAAACAAATATATAATATGTAACATTCAAATGTTCAATATTAACATTTAATTAAAAAATCTTATCAGTAGCCGAAAGCATTATTAAATTAGCCAAAATAATTACTAAACAAATATATAATATTTCAAATTAGCCTAAATAATAACTAGGCAAATATGTAATATTTAATATTCAATAAGCAATATTTAACATCAGTATTTAATAAACAAGCACTATTTTTGGTAGCTGAACAAATGGTCAAATTAGCCAAAAAATGACTAAACAAATATATTCGATAAGAAATATTTAACATTACTATATAATAAATAAACTCTATTGTTGTTAGCTGAAAGCATTATCAAATTAGCCCAAAATCTGACCAAGCAAATATATAATATTTAATATTCAATAAACAATAGTTAACATCAGTATTTAGTAAACAAACACTGTTTTTGGTAGCATTATCAAATTAGCCTAAATAATGACTAAACAGACACGCATGTGTAACTGTGTGAATGACAGGCAAAGATTACTTGTGGGTTTGTAGCTCATAACTCAGTTTTGTATTTGTTCTTCATTGTGTTCATGTTGTGCTCATGTAACTGCATGTTTTGACTTTTTTCCGCCCTCTCGATTTGATTCAAGCACTCTCTCGCTCTGAGATGTCGTCACATCGTCAAGTATCCTCCTCTCGCTGAGTGCTTCACCTCCCTCTCCTCCCTCACAGGCCCAGCTCATCGCACAGTCCATCGGTCAGGCGTTCAGCATGGCCTACCAAGAGTTCCTCCGAGCCAATGGGATCAATCCCAAGGACCTCAGCCAGAAAGACTACAGTGATATCCTGAACACACAGGAGATGTATAATGACGACCTCATCCATTTCTCCAATTCCGAAAACTGTAAAGAGGTGATTAAAGCACTGGAAACTTCATCATAGCAGCTATGAATTGTAGCTGCTTTGTGTCGCAGACATCAAACTCAATTGTGTTGTGATGCTCCTGCAAGTCTGGCCTCTCTTTTCCAGATCCCACTCTCCCAGTCTTTCCTAAAGCATTCCTATCACTTTCCACTATCCTGTCTACTACCTGTATGTGTTTTTCAATGCTGATGGTGATAGAATAGAGATTAGGGGGCTGATATATATATTTGCTGTTATAAATGTAATATATTTAACAGGTATGTAACTATAACAGTTAAAATCATAAATAAATGTATGTATATATAGACATACACTGTATCTATTATATTTATAAAATTATCTATACTGTATATGTATGTATATATAATAAATATAATTATATAAATTATTTGATATTAGTGATATGAATATATTAAATATATGTAAATATATAGAAATAATATGATATAGTACATAATTACTGTGTGTGTTTGTGTATACACAGTATATACAGTGTGTATATAATATTTTTAAATCTTCATATATATGATGTATTTTTCATTTAATATGTAATATATATATATTTTTTCTATTATGTAAATTATTTTATATTAATATATGAAAATAGTAAATATAATGCATAAAAGATAGTAATATTAATTATATAACTATATAAATGGTAAATATTTTTATTTTAATATATTTTAAAATATTAATGCATTTTACATTTATTTTATATGTAATTTTTATATTAATTATGAATATATTAAATAAATTATTATTATTTATATAACTATTAATTATAAAAAATATATATACTTCATATTTTACATATATTCATATATATAATATTTTTGAAAATATAAATACATTTTATATAATTGTCATATAGTTAATTTTATTTTTTATATGTAAGTATTGTATTATTTATAATTAATAAAACAGCACTATATTTACTACAAAATGCTCTCAAGGATTTATTAATTCAAATATATAAAAACTAAAATGTGCAAAAAGTGAGTCTAGTTATCAGCGTATGTTGATCACAATGATTTCAGCCTCATAATGGCTGAATACCATTAAATGGCAGTAATAAATACTGGGTTATCACTGGCCCCCTGCAGTAAATGCTAAGAAAACACATAAAACTTAAAACTTTTGCAGGGTATTCTGCCACACGCTACTTCATCATGGTGTTAAAATCATACTTATAACAGCAATTAACACCCGCCACCCCATATTCATTTCATAAATGGAGTATTTGGTGCCTCTTTTTACAGTATTTTCTGACTTCTCTACGTTCTTTCTTTACTCTTTAGTCGTTAATGGATTTTTCCTCGTTTTTAATCATATTTTTGCACTCAGCTTCAGCTAGAGAAGCAGAAGGGCGAGATGCTGGGTGTGGTGATCGTGGAGTCGGGCTGGGGCTCCATCCTGCCCACCGTCATCTTGGCCTGCATGCTGAACAACGGCCCTGCCACCCGCTCCGGCAAACTCAATGTGGGCGATCAGATCATGGCGGTCAACGACACCAGTCTGGTGGGCCTGCCGCTCGCCACCTGTCAGGGCATCATCAAGGTTTTGACATATCTAAGCATGTATTCAACGCATACATGTCATTAGATTGCAGTATTACACGGTTTTGTGTCTATGCGTGTGTGTTTCAGAGCCTGAAGAATCACGTTCAAGTGAAACTAAGTGTAGTGAGTTGCCCACCTGTTACTACTGTCCTCATAAAGAGACCCGACCTGCAATTCCAGCTCGGTTTCAGCGTTCAGAACGGCATAGTAAGTGTCAAGGATCAACACCACTGAAAAAAATTACACTCTTAAAATAACATATGTGACCCTGGAGCACAAAACCAGTCTTAAGTCGCTGGGGTGTATTTGTAGCAATAGCCAAAAATACATTGTATAGGTCAAAATTATAGATTTTTCTTTTATGCCAAAAATCATTAGGTTATTAAGTAAAGATCATGTTCCATGAAGATATTTTGTAAATTTCCTATTGTAAATATAATAAAACTAAATTTTTGATTAGTAATATGCATTGCTAAGTACTTCATTTGGACAACTTTAAAGGCGATTTTCTCAATATTTTGATTTTTTTTGCACCCTCAGCCAAATATTGTCCTATTGTCCTAACAAACCATACATCAATGGAAAGCTTATTTATTCAGCTTTCAGATGATGTATAAATCTCAATTTCGAAAAAATTGACCCTTATGACTGGTTTTGTGGTCCAGGGTCACAAATGTCTAATGCATGACTAAAATATGTCTTTTTTATTACAATGACTTGGCTTATCATAGTTAGGGGATTTTTTGGTTGTGTCATGAATTATTTAATTCTAACGCAGTCGTCCTGGTGCTGAATTGCAGATCTGTAGTCTGATGCGTGGAGGTATTGCGGAGAGGGGCGGTGTGCGAGTCGGCCACAGAATTATTGAGATAAATGGACAGAGTGTGGTCGCTATGGCACATGAGAAAATTGTCCACACCCTTTCAGTATCTGTAGGAGAGGTACGGCAATATATATACACTTATGTTTTGATTATTAGTAATAGTCCAGTTACTGGTAGGGGTATAAAAGTTCATTATACTTAAGTATAAGTACTGTGCCAAAATATTCCATTGAAGGCCAAAAACTTACTTTGGCTAAATTAAAAAGGTTTTCACATTTAATTGTACTTAAATATTAAGATTTAATTGATATAAGTAAACGTTAATTTTATTATTTTTTTATATATATATATTTTAATATTAATACTATATGAATATATATATATATATATATTTTTTTTTTTTTTACTATAAGTACTGTACAGTTATGAAGAACAATTAGTACTTTACACTCCTGTCATTTGCCGTGAGTCAAATAAAACAGACCTTTATTGTAAGAACACAGAGTCATCATCCTTTTTGCATTTTTGCACTCAATTATTTTTATTATGTAATGTATTAATGCCATGAATGCTATTAAAATTATGTGTCTGTCTTTTTTTTTTTCAACAGATTAACATGAAATCTATGCCTGCCATCATGTTCAGGTTGTTAACTGGTCAAGAGACTCCGGTGTACATATAAGGAATCATAAAACTGGGACTTTTTCCTGCAACTAAAAAAAAGGTTTACAGCTCCTCCTAAAAAAAAAAAAAAGCAGAAAAATAATGAAAAAAATACTCTCTGTCTTGCATCATGTGGGTGTAGACTGCATGTAAAGATCATTAGAAAGAGTGCAAACATTCACACAAAGAAAACCTAATCACATAATCTGATCAAAGGAGTGATGTTACTTGCTTATTAATGCAATTATACAGATAGTCTTCCATGCCAGACTTATTAGTTTGTATATATGTTAAATGCCTTTGGTTCAAGCCTTTTTGAGTTCTTAAACTAGCAAAGTACTCTTAAATTAAAAATACCAAGTGACTGTACTAAAGTTCACTAAATCAATAAAGTAGGGCGTCATCAATAGATTTAATTTTTAACAATACTCATTTCACAAACTCAAAGATTAACAAATGGACTAAAGCATGCTAAAATCCAAAGATAGCTGTTACATTTGCTGAACATGCTGCATTTGAGTTCTTCTGGCTGTCTTCAGTGTCTCTGTGATAAATGGGTCCTGTACACTGTGAATGGACCATTTCTGTAGATTACTACTTCAGCATGCCGGACTTGAAGACAGAAAATATACTAATCAGAAAACCTGAGCTGCATTCATGTTTATGCATGATAAAAAAAAAAAAAAAGTGTTATTTTAGTATCATTGAGATTTTTACCAAGTTTCTAGACATTGTTCAAATAAGTACAAGCTAGAAAGAGTTTATACAGGTGTAGTTATTTTAGAACTTCAATTTAAATTTTCATATAACTTCAGTTTAAGTCTTTTTCATATATATTTGATTTCAATTAATATGTATTTAAGTAATTAACAGGTTTTTTATGGTTATGTTAGCTAATGTGTGTGTGCATATGAATTACTTATAAATTAATTATTTTAGAATTAAAAATCAAATTACCTATGAACTTCCAAATTCAGATGGCTCACACATTGAAAAAAAATCGATGCAGACTATATTTTAAATGTAACAAATTATGCTCATATGGTTATGAATTCACTCTTGGTATTGCCAAATGTTATATCATTTAACTAAAAAGAACTGTAACACAAATAATGAAAATAGACAGATTGTAGAATTTGTATTTTATTTTTTTTGCATTATGTACATATATACATATGAATATGCAGTTTGTATAGAACAGCTGGATCAGTAACAGTTCTATATATACAGCTGCTCCCAGCAATTCAGTCTGTAAGTTTTCAAGTAGTAGTTGTGGATGGCAGCACACAGCCCCTCAAAGTCTCTGTAAAAATGGGGGGGGAACAAAAACAAATATTTAATCAAGCAGCAAGGACAGTGAATTTTAAAACAATGACACAATTTTGGTGTAATTAGTAATATGCTTGTTGTATGGAAAAGAGCAGCATGAATATTCTTCAGAACATGTTCTTTTGTGTTCCACGGAAGAAAGAAACTCATGCAGGTTTGGAACATCATGATTGCGAGTAAATGATGACCAAATCTTTTTTTCTTTTCAGATAATGTTAATGCAAATGCCTTTATTTGTGCTTTGAAACGTACTGTTAATGTAGTGATCTGCTGAGACAAGGAGACATTCCCTGTCTGTGTGTTGTCATCATAGATCACTCCCTCTAGAAAGCCTGAGTTGAGGTAGCCTTCACCAGTATGGGATTCGTCATCCTCATTGTCCACACCCACACTGAATACCTCCCTCATCCTCGCAGGAAACAGACAGTCCAGTAGCACCACCATCAAACCAATCACAGCGCACAGCAAACCTGAAAATAATCGGCAAACACACAAAAAAAGATTCTTCATTGGCATTAATGGTTCCATGAAGATAATCCATAGAACCTTTTCATCGCACAAAAGGTTCTTTATAGTGGAAAAATGTTCTTCAGATTATTTAAATGTACTTCACACTTCAAGGTTCTTTGGGGAATTCAAAAATGGTTCTATGACATCACTGTGAAAACCACCTTCTGGAACTTTTATTTTTAAAAATGTGGAATATTCTAACTCTTAAAGATTTGAATGGATGCCATAGAAAAAACAAAGAACCCTCCCGTGAACAGTTCTTAAAAGAACAACTTTTCTTAGAGTGAAGAACATTTTAATAATCTAAAGAACCTGTGGAATGAAAGCTTCCATGGATGTTAAAGGTTCTTCATGGAACCTCAGATGCCAGTAAATAACCTTTATTTTTAAAAGTATATATTGCACAAAAAGGTTCCTCAGACTAAAAATAAAAATGGTTCTGTTCACCCAAAATGGTTCACCAAAAGTATTGTCACCACATATTACATCTATATCATTTGATATTGTATTTTATATGATTTCCAAGTCAAAAACTTTTGAAAGTGGTACGCTTTCCCATGAGGAGCATTTACCTGTAGCCAAAGCGATCCAGAAGGAATGGCTATAGTCTGTCCTTAAGGACTCTGCACCTATACTGAAGTCACATGGGATCACATTGAATATAGTTGAGAAGGAAGCCATGGAGAAGAAAATGAAAGCAGCCGTGGCTATCATCATGTAACCGGCGTAGAGGATGACAGGCATTGAGAAGAGGATATTGGCCACCAGCCAGCAGCAAAAAGCCGTCCTGTGGGAGAAGGCCATTCTGTACTTTAGCTTGTTTGCATTTGTTGAATAGCACGGGGTTTCTTTACACTACAGTAAGACATTGGTGGTGTCTATGTGTTGGTTTACCACAGATTGGCTGAGGCGAAGCGGCCCGAGTATCTGTACTGGTAGATGAGGCCGCAGGCGCTGTTGCGAGTGAACTTCTCTGCGATGTAAAGGATGGGGTTGGGAAGACCTCGCTCCAGTGCGTCACTGTACTGCTCGTCCACGCTGCTCGACCACCTGAAGATCTCGTTGTAGTCAATGGTCTCATTTATCTGCGATACTGGGTCGCCTGTTGGAGCGGATATGGAAAGACCCCATGAAACCTGAATTGGACTCATAATGCTCTTGAGAAGTGGACCACAAATATTGACGACTCATACGGTTTACCTTTGAGTGTTATGTTTATTCCATACAGCCCCACATGAAGTCCGACTTCAGCGGACACCACTGCATTACTGAAGGATTTGTAGGTGGCGTTTGCCTTCACGCTGGCTTCAGCCCAGTCTCCAGTAAAATTCAACACTGAAGTGGACAAGAAGATCATGGAATGAAAATGTAGGCTATGTTACTCAATTTCAGCAGCTCTTATGTAATGACACGAGATAACTGGACTTAATGGGATATTTCATTCTATTGTTCCAGTTGAATTTTTAGACTCTTACTCGCACTTAAAAACTGGATGAATGCAATTGCATTATGTAACAAATATGTCAAACCAAACCAATTAAATTTAATTATCACCTTGTCTTTGGTTAAAAGTCATCGAAAAACTGGCGAGGTTAGAGAAAAGCTCTAGCAGCATTTTGTTGTCTAATGCAATGTAATTCATGCATTTTAAATTCAGGTTAAATAGGAAAATATTTTTTGAGGCCAATATAAACATATCTAGCAACAACTTGATTTCCAGATTAACTTCAAAAAATACTTGAAATACTCACCTACTAAAACAGCTCCAATAAATAAACTAATGATTATCCTGAACATCCAGAACAGTCTCTGAAAAAGAGGACATTTTATTTTAATATTAAAATATATTTTTTACACAAATTTACAAAATCTTTGCAATTTTTTATACATCTTTGACTGATATCAAGAGCTGATGTAAAAGACTTCACACTAGGTTTGTAAATTAAGAAGGGTATACTAAAAAGACAAAAAAAAACACCCCAGATATATAATTTTACTGTAAATGGTTTGACTTTACAGACCCTGATATTAAAAAAATAACACAGAAAAGTAATCTGTCCCTCAAAAATTCACATATTTGTAAAAATTGAAAAAAAAAAAGAAATAAATAGGCTACTTTTACTTATAATATGAAATACTGCTTGACAACTCAATTCAAGGTACAATGAATCACCTTGATGGTTATTATGAATACAACTATTAGCCTTTTAAGAGCTTGGCGCGTATTTTAACCTATAGCCTACATTTTTAAAAGCTCTCACTCTTCAATCATGTCACATCCACTTATCATTGCCCCTTATTAGAAAGCTGTTGATACAGAAAAGCCTTCCAGACAAACTGATGCAACTCACTCACCGATTTGCCACGTATTCCCGGTAGAATGAAGAGGAAACTGACAGCTAGAACCGAGAAAACCAGGATCACGACCAGCAGGCTGATGTCGACGATGAACGGGCTCCTTTGTAGCGAGTAGAACGGGTAAATGCCATCGTAGAAAGTCATCTTCCCTCCACAGGCGAGAACTAAAGCTGAAAGCAGGACAGTGTTGGCCAGAGGCTCAGTTACCTGGAGATTGCAGATTACAGTCTAGTGTGCGAATTATACAGTAACTTTCAGGGGGGCCGTTATACTTTTGAAGTGCGCCTATAGCGAAACCCGTACTCGAGCTGATTTTTGGTCGCTATTTATCGCCAAGTCAAATTCGCGCTCTGGCTTTAGCTATAAAACGTTTAGTTCATCCCTGTTTAATCAAGTGCTTGTAGTTAAAAAGAAAATGTACTTTTTAACACATTCGAAATTTGTTTCCTTCATGAGAATTCAAATTCGGAAACAACCCCCATAACTCAGTCCACCTCTCTCACACATCTTCACACTTCAGATCAGTCGTTAAAATCTATAAAATTACTTGGGATGCATCACAGAAAGCGCCACTCATGCCGCAGCCGCAGCGTTAGCTATAATGCAAATGATCCCGCTCAGGTAACCGGCCCAGGTAAGCGCACCTTGAGGTGATTGTTAACGTGAATGAGGATACTTTGATAACCGTACATCAAAGGACATCGGATCTTCCTTCATAGTCTCACAGAACTGGATGTTACTTGATAGACATTTAGAAATCAATACCCAACCACAATGCCGCATTGCAACTCACCTGTGGACGCAACGAGAGCCGCGAAACAACACGGAAAAATATGTGTCTTGGAAATAGGATGATCCTCTC